CTTGTTTTTATCGACCCAATTTTAAAAGAACTATCCGATTCTTTTGTTTATTTCACACTAATTTTAGTTCTTATAAAAGGCTGTTCAGACGGTGTCGAAAACACGAAGGTTTTAGATCCAATTATAATGACATTTTTGACAATCAAGACGTCACCTCGCGTCGTGAGAACATCAATTTAAAACCTGTAACAGACATTCTACAATATTTTATCTTAAGACTCGTATATTTCGCAATATCGTTCGACATACAGTTCAAGGAGCTACTGCACACGGAGAATATATCTTAAATCTTAATATATCGAGCGATATAGGGACAATATACCTAAAATATTTTATTTTAAAACTTCGCAATGTCGATCTTCGCACATTCAGGGTCGTATTCTAGAACTCTACTCAATGCTCAAGTCAGGTTTGCAATTAAAACACAAGCACTGGAAATACGACTCTAATGGCAGGGACTTGAGTATGATTTTGAATGCTTTAAACCATACTCAAATCCTGACTTGAGCATTGAGTAAAGTTCTGGAATACGACCATCAATGGATGAGCATATACATTTACATGCCGATAGATATATGAATGATGTACCTGAAATATTTTAGCGTAAACTCGTTACTTTCGTAATGTCGACGCCCAGACGTGTAGAGAACGAGCAAATATATTGAATATAAGTAACGATCGATTATGGTATAATATTTTATCTTTAAGCTTTCGTAATGTCGATCCCTATACATTCAATATACGAGCGTATATATGGAATATATCTTATATTTCCCTATTTTTTCTATAAGCCAATGCTTTCGTAATTCTATGGTTGAGAATATACATGGAATATACATATATGACATCTTACAGCATCTAGAGATATCGATCGATATGAGACCCGTATCTAAAATATTTTGTTTTAAAATCAATACTTTTGTAATGTCGATCCTCACACATTCAATGGACCACCATATTATGTCGAATATATTTAACATTTTACTGTATCATATGATAACGATATGCGTAATAATATTTTCGCGATGTCATGCCCAATACAATTTAAACGACCACAAACGGCAAACACACACATCTTTGTTATTGCTTCTTAAGACACCGATTTTGCGAATTGTATGAGATGCGTTATGCTTAAAATATTTTATCTCAAGATAAACACGTTCGCAATATCGTTTACACTCAACAGAGAATGTCTTAAGATTCCAAAGTTGGCGGAATGCATGGGTAGCGATATGTCGAAAATATTTAATTTAGTCTTAAGTTCTTTTTTACATGTCGTCTGTGATAGGCTTAAACATAATTGTGGTGACCAAGAGCGAGTTGGACTCGAGGACAACGCGCTTTAACAAAACTATTAGTGACTGTCGCTAGGGTTTTACTATAATTATTTTTTTTGTTTAAACAATTGTTAACGCGTACACGGTGACGACATCTAGTGGAAATTATTAATAACATCGATGAAGCAGCGGCGATTTTTTTTAACGATTTTTGGTTTTAAATTATGTCGATTCAATCACACGATAGACTGCGTTTGCAACAATCGTTTGTACAATACACGCATATTACACCAGGGAAAAGAAAATCATTAATTTTGCTCCGTATTGCATCTGTGCAATAAATAAGCTCTAGCTTATTATAGACAGGAAACAAATAGACAATATACAAATTGTAACATTAGAGTTCCTTGTGAAAGTGTTCGTTTAGAGAAGTGCTGCCACTTCCCTATTTCTGCCGCCAAGCAGTAACTAACATTACGCATTAATACGTTCCGGTTTTGAAGGGTGCTGGTGAAATTACAGGCACATGAGACTTATCGACCTATGTCTCAGGGTGACAGGTGCAGTGGCAGTGCCCCTTAGATCTTTGTGTTTTAAAGTTCAGAGTGGCATTGCAACTGTTATGGACAAGCGTGTTGATCAGGGTGCACGACTTGTTCGTCCCGTCGCGTGGTATCATATATAACAAAAAAGGGAAATGAGAAAATATGAGGCTGATCACAGCGACATCTACATACTCTTACAATAATTCTGCCGCCGTTACTTGAAAGGGCGCATGTGACATTTAACAAAAATATTTTATGTGTGTTGCCGTCATCAGTAAAAAAGGTCGATATGTCACTATTTTTAATTTTTAACCGATTTATTTATTTATTTATTTGCACACTTTACAGCTTTTAAATTTGGTTTACAATTCTGAATAATCTACTTACATAGGGAATTACAAAGTTTGTCAGATTGCAATTATTTTTTTTTACGTTACACAAAAACTAATGCGATGCCAGAACGAAACGACTTAAATCAGAGAACAATCTAACAAATTTAAATACATATTGATAACATATTGTAACTGAATTCCGTTGTATTAATAGATTTAGACATTATTTTTTAATTATTATATTTTTTAAATGAAGCGACTTACAAATAATGTAATAAACATTTGTTTACTTGTAGTAGAGTATGCGCATTTGTGTGTCTACTTGTGTGAAGGTGTATGTGTGTTTATGCGCTGTTTATATAACAATAATTACCTTGTAAACTTTTTAAAGTGTTTTTTCAAAGAATTAATAAATTTGTTGCGGTTCAAAAAGAAGATATTAACGTCTTTAAATTTGTCCTCGTAAGAACGCACAATTCTAAGCAAAACAGAGTATTTCGCGCAGTTTGAACGGGCTGAGCCCGTGTGCAAGGAGCGCATATGTCTTGTACGAGTCGGGCAAGTACATAACAAGAGGTCAACTCAGGACAATCCATCACAGAATTAACTACGTCGAATACTCATATCTGATAGTAGACGCCTATCCTCGTGTGAATCCAGCTGGTATGAAGTTACCGCAAGAGAAAAGTAGATATTTTTATTATTTAATTTTTTTAAATATTATTTTTTCGGTTTTAAGTTCATGTCACAAACGACGCGAAATGCCTATGTTACACTGACATTCACGCCAGTTATATAAGTGTTATTGTAGTTAGTGAATACTGAAGATTAGTGCCGTTTTTATGACATCAAGTGACACCTGGTAAGTAGCGACAGGCCTGCTCTTAACAGTTGCATTGCCACTCAGAGCTTTAAAACGCAAGACCCAAAGGGCCTTGATACATAAAACCATTGAGTATATAATCAGAAATAGAGACGAAATAATGGCCATACATTCTGGTAACTCATCAGTGATACATCACTTATAAATATCAACTCTCGTTTGCACTGAAATTACAAATTAGAAAGCTGAAATAGTACAGCGCCAACAACTGACCTATGTGTACGACTTCGTATATTCCAAAAATATTCTGTATTTACTATAATAAAGATAATATCTCTAACAATGGCGTGCTGTTCCATTCGGTGATGTGGGGAAAACAGCTAAACATCTAATTGCAAAACAAACGGAATCAAATATCATCGGTAATTAAATATTAAATATATAATTGTGCAATTTTCGCCCATTATAGCAAAGCTCAAGTTACCTAGTCGATTTGAAGTGAAAAAAATGACGACACCCATTGATGATACCCGTCAATTGTTTCGAATTCGGGCTGGCCAATCGGAGTGCAGTTGTCACAGTAATGATATGGCAGAATAGTTTTCAAACAAATTAAATGACATTTAGTCTCTAGCTCTAACCCTAAAATGCTAAACCCTGCTTTGTTTAATAGATTAAACTCCATTGACTGCTTCCGTGGACGAAAGCTTACCATGCCGGACTGCCACGCAGAGGTCCTAGTTTCGATTCCCGGGCAGGGAGAAATATTTGTATCACGTACATTTATTCCTCTGGCGAGTTTGGGTGTAATTTGTGGTTGTCTATGTGTGTGTCCATTGCACCCTCGATTCAGGGTTTAGTGCGGGGCTATGTTAAGTATGTGCGTTACTATATTACTATAGATTATAAAGTAAAAAAAATGAGTTCGTTCAGGGAAGTACTGCGGGAGCCGACGGAGGAGATCTGATGATGGAAATAACAGACATTTTAGTAGCTGTAGAGCTTCTCCTGAAATATTTCGTCAAGGGAAGTACTGCCACCTTACTTATTTCTGCCACCAAGCAGTGATGTGAACATTACTGCCGTACGGCTTTGAAGGGAAAAGGGAAATGGGAAATGAAGCTACCTATATTTAATAGCAACACATCTTCCAAACCGCGAAACAGAACTTACTTACTTGACGCACTTTCCGCTAACCAATTTCAATACAACTTGGCAAATAGATGTAATACCACGAACTTTCAAAGTCGGTTTTTTTTAAATATAAAAAAGTAGTAATTATATTATTCCAAGTATTTATAAATTGCGTAAGTATAATTGTTTTATCAAACAAACCAACATTACAGGGCCTGAGAATAATGAGTTAACGATCGCGTAAAATGTTTGTATACAAAATGTTGTCGCTTCTTGTGGCCGCTAGGGGCGCTGTATAATTTGCCATACAAAATTGTGAAGTAATTTACGCGGTCCCTAGCGACAACTGTCACAGTAAACTCGTGGTAGAGACACTGGTCCCGTGGTCATAGCTGACTCAGCTTATTACTTGCTTTGAACAGTATTCTAAAGTTCAGCCTAATAGATTTAGGGATTACGTTTATTTCAAAGAACATTACACCTCTACTTCATCCAATAAGGTTTGTTTTTCATTCCCCGTTCATACTTTTTATAATTTCGTCATTTATGTATCTTTATTATTAAGTTGACAGCTCAATTTGAACTTTAAAAGCGTCATAATACAGAAAATGGTATTTCTACATAATATACCTCCTCCTCTCACCTCATCCCTCCCTCTTGTCTATTAAAACACTTCTATAGGAGTCTAGAACTCAACCTTGTTAATTAACAAACCCACAACGTTAAAGACGTAATACAGCATAAATAAAAATCCATTACCTTTACATATAAAACCTGTTTAAATATAAATGATTCAGGCCACCTTTTAAATTTCGCCGAGTTATAATTCATGAGAATAATATAACATGGCCAAATAAAGAACAGGCAGCAGTTACCATTCACTCCCCACTCTGTCCAGTTTAAAACCGCGCGAAAATCGAATTTCGAACTCAGTCGTGTCGCGCGAACGGTACACGCAGTGGTAAAGAAAGTGGGTCAGCCTTTTTTTTTTAATTTTTTTTTCATTTTTAAATTTTTTCCTTCGACGGTTTTCAACATGAAGTACCTGGTCGTTCTCGCTGTCTTCGCCCTGGCTTTTGCGGCCGAGGAGAAAGAAGAGGACAGGCCGACGACTTTCAGAAGATTGATCCCAGCTGACGTGCTAAGAGGTCAGTGTTTGTGGATTTAAAAATATGTGTTATGAATGTTTTTTGATGGTGAAGATACGTGGAAAATCCTGTAGTTGCCCTGGGATAAATTGAAAAAATACCTTAGTGATTTATTTTCGTGGTTTTGTAAAAACTAAGAAAATTATTTGAAATATTTGAAACTAAAGAAAAGTTCTTTAAATATAAACAAACAAGTAAGGTTTTAATGTAGACTAAATATATAGTAGAAGCCAAGGTTTAAAATTGTAAGGCTTACTTTTTAAACTATAACATGAAATAATTTTTATGTCTGTCACTTCGCTTGTACAATAGAATGTGTTAATTTATTTCGTAAAAGTAATGTCACTAATAGAAAAAATAATAGTTTACATAAAGAAAAAATATAATCCACCTAATAAAAAAACCAAATTACATTTTTTCCGAAAGAAATTCGTCTATATTAAAGAATTCAGTCAGTCAGTCAAGTTTGTTAGATAATCGGGCTTATTACACGTTAGGTAAGTGTATTATGTAATATATAATCATTCAAGTCCAAATAACAACAACGACTCATTATTAGAATAAAAAAACAAACACAAAAGTTTGTAAACAAACAGCCTACTGAAATTCGAAAAGCATTTCGTTATATAAATACGATTCGATGATTCATTGTACCAAAATTTAAAATCAAATAAACATTGCGAAATGACTCAGAGATTTGTGGCAAAATAACATTAATACGAGAAATAAAAAAAACTGGCTGTTCTTTACAGTCAATTGTGACGATGACTGTGAAGAAAAGCCAGGTTTTTTTTTATTATATCAAGTGACGGGACGAACATTTAGCCCCGTACATAACCAAATGAAATTTCACGACCTCCTTGGATGAGCGACTTGCACACCGGCTTTCATGGTGTCACTATCTCATATGCCTAAACTTTTCTATATTGTCCCGGGTCTGGGTATTTGTGGTACAGTCGTTCTTTCCAATATCCATAACACAAGTACTTTAGTTATTTACATTGGGATCAGAGTAACTTTTATGCTGTAGTCTAATGTATTTACTTAATATGTATATTTACAAGTAACTAACTTATTTATATATATATGCTTCTACAATAAAACTGCGGTTGCGAGAATTAGAACGCAAGAACGCGTCAAAATTCACTGAAACAAAAACTGTACATTAAAGTATGTTATAATTATTAAAACAAAGATCGAACACTCAGAAAAAAATCCTTCGATACGGCCGGATTCAAATCGACGTCTTCTAGCATACTGTGTATTAGTAATTATAACGCACTAGTGGAGTAATTTCACATAAAAATAATTGAATATCAATTCAATTAAAGGTTATTTATACAGCTTCTGCGTACTTGGCTGACAAAAATCAATGGTATCGACCCGTTTAGCTCTTTTAAGTTGTCTCAATTTCATATTTGTAATAAATATTGTATATGATCAATGTGTATAAATATTTATTTAGAAACCTCTAGAGTTTCTTACTCATTCTTCTCTGGGGAATTTGGCTTACGAATGAGTAGTAGAGTTTAATTATTGCGATGATTATCTAGCAGCCGTAGAGCTTCTTGTGAAAGAGTTCGTCCAGGGAAGTACTGTCACCTTATCTATTTCTGCCGCCAAGCAGTAACGTGAGCATTACTTTGTTCAAGTTCAGAAGGGTAAGAGTGCTGGTGAAATTACAGGCACATGGGACTTGTCAACTTACATCTCAGGGTGACAGGCGCAGTGGCAGTGCCTCAGGTCTTTGCGATCTGAGTGGCACTGTAACTGTTATGGACAGGCGTGTAGCTTACCATCAGGTGCATGACTTGTTCGTCCCATCACTTGATATTAAAAAAAAAGATTTCAAGCGTAATTTGCTTAAACTTGAAATCTATATCGTCGTTGGTGTGTCATATAAATTATTCAAATATGATTTATTATCAAAGACCTTTTGTATAAAGGTAAACAATAAATAATAATCACATCAAAAAACTTCAATACTACAATTATAAAATAAAAAGAGGAAAAAATTAAATGAATCTGATGAAATGAAGAGGGCTGTAAGTTTCTAAATCATTGCTCTTAAATTTAACAAACTGCACAAGATAAAATAACTTTTTTATTGATTTGTTACATTTAATAGTAAATTCAATGTTTTTTTTTCCATTATTTTTATAAAATCTTTATTCCTTATTTTATATCAGATTATTGCCATCGCGTGATAATGCAGTATCATTAAAATTAATGCATGTCAGTTCTGCCAGTCAATGTACTTGTTTGACAGAGAACCGTTGAAAAAACTTGTAATTTACTTGTTTGAAATATGAAGTTATGTATAATGGATGGTTATTGTACGATGCAGTGAAATTTAAAGTACTCGTAACTTGGTGTTAAAAAATATGCCAGGTTGTTACAATGTAATAATGCTGTAATTTTTCTTTCATATTTATTTGACATTTCCTATAGTTGTTTGAATATAGCGTTTTCACAAAGTGGCGTTGTAGTCGTAGTAAATGCAATTTTGTCATTAGGAAGTGGAAGTTCTTTCGCAAAAACGTTTTTTTATAGTGTTAGCATAGCGAATACATTAAAATAAAACGATAGATTCATAGGCGCACCAAAAGTATATTTCTGAAAAACTTTACCATTCTCTCTCCCACTAATCTCACAAACTCACAGAACACTATATTCAGAAGGAGCACCAACTACCACCCACTAACCTAATCTATCATTTCTCTTTTTTCCTTTTTTAATCCCACGAATATCATTTAGTGTTGCCATTTTGTTCTTTAATCGATTATACTCAAGTCAAGTCGGTACCTTAATTTATTGAAATGTGATAATTTTTGCGTTTTAAAGCGAATAATTGACTAGCTTATAACTTTCGTTAACAAGTTTTTCAGAGTAAAATAATATTATAAAAAACCGGCTAGGATAAGAAACTAAAGTGCAATAAGGAAGTATGAAATATAATTATGAAAATAGTATATTAACCCTCATGGCCGAGTTAACAAGACCTGATTGTTAAGCAAGTAGATTAATCATTGTGTTAAATCTTACATCAGACTCTTGTGGGATCGTTCTAGCATGTCTTTGAATTAAACAGGTATAAAGATGGCTTCAGAATAAAGTACTTGGATGCGAATGCATAAAATAAGTGTGAGGAAAACAACGCCTCACTTCTACTTCTTAGTGTGCTGCTTCTCTACGAAGGTTGGAGACTATTAAAGCTATTCTCATTTGTGAAGCTGCCACACGAAAGAGGGATACGTGCTAAGGGGGAACCAGTCTCTCCGATCCTTCAAATACGGTTTTCCTTCTGTCACGAATACGCTTCCTAGTGTTTTTCCCTGAATTATTAGTTGAGTATTACTCTAATGTCTCAGATACATCTGTTTATTTTTTTTTTACAAAAGAAAATAAAACAAATTAAATAAATGAAAATTGTTATACATTTCTCAAAGATGGCGCTGCGGCAAAAAAGTCATTAAAAACCAAAACCAAAGATTTGCAACAGGCACTTAGAAAAGTTCGTAAGGTCTACTGGATCGTTTCGTAGCTCAGTTGGAAGAGCGTCAAGTATAGTATGCTGAAGGCGCTGGTTCGTAACCAGCCAGACAGAAGGAATTTTTCTTAGTGTTCGATCTTTGTATTAATGATTATAACAATTAAATGGAATAATTTTTCAAAACTAATTGAATATCATGATTAGTAAAACATCACGATATTTAATAAACTTAATTTTAAAAGAATAGTTTAGTTTGTAACACATTCATTTCAACTGCCTCGGTGTAGCGGTGGTCGAACGGTTACCATGCTGGACTGCTACGCAGAAGTCCCGGGTGCGATTTCCGGGCCGGGAGAAATATGTATATGTCCATGGCACCCGAGACACTGGGTTTCCCTAGTGTGTATGCGTTATTTAAGCTACATCGGTTAAGACACTTTTAAAGCATTTCTATTAATCAAAATTCCATTATCTACTTACGTTTTCCAATTACGCCCATGTGATATTATGACGACCGCCGTTTTCGAGTGGCTTGCACACCGGTTTTCATGGTGTCACCATCTCTGAGATACCGGGTTCGATCCCCGGCCGGGTCATTGAGGAAAACTTTTCTATATTGTCTCGGATCTGGGTGTTTGTGGTACCGTCGTTGTATTTCTATATCACAAGTGCTTTAGTTATTTACTTTGGGATCGTAGCAACGTATGTGACGTTTTCTAATATTTATTATTGTTAAAAAAACATGTTTCACCTAAACTGCCTCTGTGGCTGAATGGTTACCATGCCGGACTGCCAGGCAGAGGTCCTAGGTTCGATTCCCGGGCCGGAAGAAATATGTATGACCTCTTGTGAGTTTGGGTGTAATTTGTGGTTGTCAATGTGTGTGTCCATGCGCGACACAGGGTTTCCCTAGGCTATGTTGAGTGTGTGCGTTAAAAATTTAGTCTGTAGAAGTGCATGAGAGTAAATCTATAACATGCCTTCAATATGTTTGTATGTCTAATGGGTGGCCATACTCAGTGAAACTATACCTACTTATTTTTACAAATAAACTAATTATGACGATATTTAAACTCTGAAACTGGAAACTTTAGGTATTGTTTTATTATAGCAGGCTAAACAGTGTAAATGCATCCTAAGCTTAATTTATACAACCGGTTGAATATCTAATACAACGATTAAAAGATCTAGACTACACTTAATAGGCACTTAAAACTGCCCACATAACCTGATTTAGCTATAAAACTACATTATCTATAGTTTAATAACTTAATTTTTGTTTTATGCATATTTCTAGCTTGTTACACAACTATTCATTCATAAGGCAGATTCCGCAGAGAATAATGAATAAGGGTTGTTATTTAAAAATATTATCGTTCTTCATTTACAATATTTATATAAAAATGTAATCAGCAGAACGGTCTGAAAAAGATAAACTGACCAGTGGTTTTGTAAAACTAGCATACTCAACAGTAATATATAAGTTAAAAAAACTAATTATTTAAGA